TCACATATTTTGAACAGCGAATCTGATAATGAATATTATTCTCTTTCTTCCTCCTCACTTAGTTTTTCCAGTGCAGAGGATGATTCCTTCACTGACATGCCCTCATTAGAAAATAACATCAACCTTAAATTCTCTACTCTTTGCAATAACTTTAACGTTGTGCATATTAATGCACAGAGCATTCCTGCTCACTACACAAACCTGTTGGCTACGTTTACCTCTAATCTCTGAATCTTTCCTCAAACCATCCTTGCACTCTTCACTTTTTACCCTTCCTAGCTACAATCTCATTAGAAATGATCGAACTTGCGTCACGAATAGGGGAGATGGTTCTAGAGTGGTCGGTGGTGGTGGTGTAGCTATTTATTTACATGATGATATTGCCTTTGAAATAGTGTCACAGTCTCCGCCAGATCATAATGCACCTGAACATTTATTCCTCAAAATTATCCTGCATCACTCGAAAGTACTATTAGGGGTTTACTATAGTCCGTCCCTTCACGTCAATTATTTTCACTCCTTTGAAGGCATCATTACAGAGTTGAGGCCTCAATTCGATCATCTCATTATTATGGGTGATTTTAATACATGCCTACTCAAAAATGATAACCGCTCCAATACGCTACTCTCTTTACTTCATTCTCTTAATCTCAATGTCCTTTCCCTCCTTCCTACTCACTTTCCACATAACGGTCCGCCCTCTCTTCTTGATCTTGTTATTACCTCTTCTCCGAACCTAGTTGCATCTCATGGTCAGTTTTGTGCAGTGGCCTTCTCAAATCATTATCTTATAGAATAGAATAGAATAGAATAGAAAATCATTTATTCAAATAAACTTAATTTAAGCACTTTTGAATAGTCATAACAATTTGTTTTTTATCTACCACTCGTTCGGAAAGCTGTCTCATCACAAGAAGAACGAGCAAGAAACTTGTGTATTGCTCTTTTAAATAATCCTTGTAAGTTCACATTTACAAGTCGAAACGTGTGAATACAAACTACCAACCAGCACCAATTCTTTGGGTCAAATATAATCATGCAATAAGATTAAATCAGTCGTAGTGATAAGAGCAGACCAGTCCCTACAAGCAGCACTCGTTCACGAGTATGACGGATGAGCCAGCCATCACTGCGCTCGACCATATTTTAGGGAGCCCATTGACCCGGCCCACCACGCCGCCACATGTCTGGACATTTTAGTGAGCATGACTACTCATTCCACACGACCACGTCACAGCTACCAAAATTACTATATGGCGTTACAGTATTCGCACTTTACATAAGGATGCATGCGGCAATCAATACAAAAGCCGCTACGCTATCATATATCAAGAAAGCAGTATGAAAATTAAAATTATAACGTTGTCCGCAAATAAACTTATTCTTGCTATATATTGCTATCATCTATAAATTCATCTATCTTATAATAGGCTTTTTTACATAACATTTGTTTAATATAAGATTTGAATTGCCTCTCTGTAAGATTTAGCGTAGACTCTGGCAGTTTATTATAGAATCTTACGCAATTACCATAAAATGAATTACTAACTTTGTGTAGACGGCATTTAGGTAAAATTAGCTTATTTTTATTGCGTAAGTTTCTACTTGTACAGTCTTTAAGTTTCTTGAAACTATCTAAGTTTTTCCTTGTATACATAATATTTTCATAAATGTACTGTGAGGCAACGGTGAGGATATTTGATTGTTTAAAGCATTGACGTAATGACTCTCTAGAACCCATACCATAAATAGAACGTATGGCTCTCTTTTGTAAAATAAATATAGTATTTATATCGGCAGCTTTACCCCATAGCAGTATGCCATATGACATAATGCTATGGAAATAACTAAAATATACAAGTTTTGCCGTCGCCACGTCTGTTAATTGCCTTATCCTTCTAATTGCATAAGCAGCAGAACTAAGTCTACTGGCTAATTTTGAAATATGGGGCCCCCATTGTAACTTCGAGTCCACTGTTATTCCTAAAAAAACTGTATCATTAACAAAATTTACTATTTCATCATTAAGCAATAGCTGCGTATTTACTTGTTTTACATTAGGCAGCGTGAATTTAATGCACTTAGTTTTGTTGGAGTTCAATAATAGATTATTACATGTGAACCAATTTAGTATAGCAGAGATAGCATAATTTACATCGTCAAATTGATTACATTGGCGACCAATTTTAAACACTAACGAAGTATCATCCGCAAATAACACTACATCTGCAACTTTCTCTACCATGTAGGGAAGGTCATTTATATAAATTAAAAAGAGAAATGGGCCTAATATTGAACCTTGAGGAACGCCCATTTTTATATTAGTTCCCTTAGACTTTACACCATCAATATCTACAGTTTGCACCCTATCCTCTAGATAAGTTTTCATTAGACTTAGGTCATTATCTCTAATACCATAGTGTTTGAGCTTGTACAAAAGTGTTTCATGATCTACGCAATCAAACGCCTTCGACAAGTCACAAAAAACGCCGAGAGCATCCTGTGAGTTCTCCCATGATTTGAATATGTGTAATAAGCGTTACACCTGCATCAGTAGTAGACTTGCCGGCGGTGAAACCATATTGGTGACTGTGAAGCAGTCCGTTATCCCTGAAGTATTTTAACATTTGGTTAAACATAATCTTTTCAAATACTTTACGTAGAACTGGCAAAATAGAAATTGGTCTATAGTTGCCTAGCTCAAATCTATCTCCAGATTATTTTTTCCTCCTTTAAACTCCGTTATCCCAAGCGCAGGAATAGAGTAGTACTACGATATAATTTTGGCAACGTGGATATTAATGCCTTGCAGGATGATCTACGTCATGCTGACTGGAGCCCCATCCTATCGGCCAACGATATTGACTCTAAAGTGGCTGCATTTCAACAATTACTCCTGAATATTTATGATAAACATGCTCCTGTTCAGCAAGTGCGCCTAAAATACAATCCTGCTCCTTGGCTAACACCGGAGCTAAAAGCTCTTATGTGTAGGAGAGACAGAGCTAGGATCAGGTTGCGTCGCAATTCCGATGATACTTCTCGTGAAAGTTATATTGCTTTGAGGAATAGGTGCAATAGATTGTGTCGTCAAGCTAGGCGTAGGCATATATACACCAATATTGAGGGTTGCCCTCCTGGTAAACTATGGAGTTACTTACGTAATTTAGGCGTCGGTAAACGTCATTCCGGAGATTTTAACTTTACGAATCTTAATGAGATCAACCAAGCTTTTGCCGCTCCCCCTGGGACTTTAAATCCTATTATTAAACAACCAACTGTAACTTCCCTCGCTGATTCTCTTCTTATTGATGGCGACCCTTTCACGCTTGGGGAAATATCGGTCGATAAGCTTTTAAAAATTCTAAATTCAATCAATTCTAGGGCCGTTGGTGATGGTATCGGACTAGATATGATTGAACCTAACAAGACACTGCTTGCGCCTCTTATCGTAGATATCTTGAATTGCTCCCTATCCTCAGGTACCTTTCCTTCTGTTTGGAAATTTAGTCACGTCATTCCTCTTCCCAAGAAATCCAACCCGACTTCCATATCCGACTTTCGTCCCATAGCCATACTCCCATTTCTTTCCAAAATTTTAGAACATTTTATTCTTCGGTGATTGTCCGAGTTCGTTCTCAAAAACAACCTTCTGAGTCCGTACCAGTCAGGATTCCGAGCTGCACATAGCACTGTTACTGCGCTTATTAAAATTACTGACGACATCAGGCAAAACATTGAAAATAAGAATCTATCTGTCTTAGTTCTTCTCGATTTCACTCATGCATTTAACTCGGTAGATTTTGACCTGTTGGTGTGTATCCTGCGGTCCATAAACTTTTCATTGTCTGCCCTTTCATGGTTTGGGTCTTATCTGTTTGGCCGGCGTCAATTGGTGAAGGTGGATGATAGTCGTTCCGACTGGGCTGAGGTACTGACGGGTGTCCCACAGGGTGGGGTCTTGTCGCCCCTACTCTTTTCTCTTTTTATTAATAGTATTACTAAATCTCTCTCCTCCTCATTTCATTTATATGCTGATGACCTTCAATTGTATGCTGCTGCCCCTATCGACAGCTTAGCTAATGCTATCAATAGTATTAATAATGACCTCTGCGCTATTGCCGAATGGTCAAAAAGCTTTGGCCTTTTAATCAATGCTAATAAATACCAAGCTATTATTATTGGCAGTCATCACTACATCTGTAGTCTAAGATCTGTGTATATTCCTCATGTTGTCTACGATGGCAATCACATTCCTTTCTCTTCTACTGTGAAGAACCTGGGAATTATCATGGATCAGACTCTCTCATGGGGGCCACACATTGGTGAGATAAGTCGTAGACTTTTTTCTTCTCCCTGCATAAGATTCATCTTCGGTTTACATAAGTTTGATCATGTCTCTGTCTATTGTAAGCAACTTAATTGGCTTCCTATTCGTGACCGTCGTAACATTCATTTGCTTACCCTTTTATATCAGATCCTTTACAACTCTAGTTCGCCCATGTACCTGCAGGAAAGATTCCGGTTACGGACTGATGACCGTCTTCGTTCCAGTCATAATCTAGTTTTGGCAATACCGTGTCATACGAGTCATTGTTATACTAACTCCTTTACAATACAGTCTGCTCGACTTTGGAACGCTTTGCCAACGGAGGTCAGATTGTCTTTATCGGTTTACTCTTTTAAGGCTCGCCTTAAAAAACTTTGGAGTCACACTGCTGATGCGCTGTTTTAGTATTCTTCATATTTTTTTTTATATATAGTGTACGGGGTTGTACAAAGAATATTAAGATGAGTTTACGTACTTATTTATTTTCTAAAGATTTAAGACAATTACAATTTTATTAAGTTGCGCTCGCGCGTCTGTAGGTTTACTGCCGGTGTCGCCGGTCGATCGCGTCTTCCCGCTTCCCCCGCACCCTCGTCCCCGTAGCTACCGCGTCAACATCCTCCCCCCTTGGAAGGAGCAGCTGCTTCTTTCAATGCCTTATTCTCCTCTGTCACGACGGGCAAAAGGCAAACTTTATTAACTGCTCGCCGTTCCATGCCGCGATTTGTAAAAACGTCAACAACTCGTACAACTCCATCATTTCCAGGGTTGCATGGGTTTGGACTCGACCGAGTTTCCACCTCAGTGGTGGTAGGTTAAGGTCTTTTAAAACCACCAGATCGCCTTGATGTAGGTTTGGTTTGCTGGACCGCCATTTTGTCCGCTGCTGTAATTCGGTTAAATATTCTTTTCTCCATCTATCCCAGAAGTGAGATTTTAGTTGCTCTACCAACTGATACCTCGTGCGTATCTTTGTATCAGTTTTTTCAGGCGTAGGCAGCGATGTCAGTGGCCGGCCAATGAGGAAATGCCCTGGGGTTAGTGGAGCTAAATCGGATGGATCAGATGATAAAGGAGATAGGGGACGCGAGTTAAGGATCGCTTCGATTTGAGCTAAAAGCGTGCTCATCTCCTCGTAAGTAAGGCTAGTGTTTCCGGCTATACGTTTAAGATGATGTTTGGTACTTTTTACACAAGCCTCAGAGAGGCCAGCAAATGTCGGTGAATATGGCGGGGTAAATATAAACTTTATGCCTTCATTAGCCGCGAAATCGTTTAAATTGTTTAAATTGGAGCGCAATACCCTGCCCAACTCGTTGTTTGCCCCGACAAAATTTTTGCCGTTGTCGCAACAAATAGAATCTGGTTTACCTCTTCTAGCGATAAATCTCCGTAAGCAAGAAATAAAGGCGGGAGTACTAAGATCGCTAACCGTTTCCAAGTGAACAGCCTTAGTAGAGAAGCATATAAAGATGCATATGTAGCATTTTGTGGTTCTACTACCCCGACCCTTTTTGCTTGCAATCAAAAAAGGCCCAGCAAAATCAGTTCCAGTAACTTGAAAGGGGTATGATTGTGATGCTCTGGTAACTGGTAAATTACCCATTAAAGGTTCCATAGTTTTAGCTTTTATTCTTACACATATTACGCAATTTCGAACGATGCTTCTTGCTAGCAATCTGCCACCAATGGGCCAGAATTGATCTCTAAAAGAGCTGAGGAGCAATTGAGGGCCTGCGTGAAACAAACGTAAATGCTCGTTTGACATTAAGATTTTTGTAAAGTGATGTTTAGCAGATAATAATATAGGATGTTTTTTATCAAAATTGAGATTAGTGTTTTTTAAGCGACCACCAACTCTTAACAATCCACAGTCATCAATGAAGGGAGCTAATTGTAAAATATTTGACTTTGAATTAAGTGATTTGCCCTTAAGAAGAATATTTATTTCGAGGTTGAACGATTCATTTTGTGCTATTTTAAGTAAATAAATGAGAGATTGACGAAGTTCAGTTTCATTAAGAGAACCGGTTTGTTTTTGTATTTTTTACAATTATTGACAAATCGAAAAACATAAGCAAATATTCTTTTTAATTTTAATGAGTTTGAATAATTTTCAAAATTTATGAATTTATGATTTATATTTTTTACATGATGAACTTTTACTTCCGGCAATTCCTTGTGCATAGTATTAAGTTTCTGTGGCCATTCCGTCTCATGCATTGACAGAAAGGAAGGACCGTTCCACCACAATGAAGAACTAGCTAAGACTTTAGGATCCACGCCTCTCGACGCCATATCTGATGGATTGATTTCGGTAGGAACGTATCGCCAGGATTCCCTGTCCGTCAACTCATGAATTTCATGCACCCTATTGCATACGAATGCTTTTAAAAGTTTAGGCTGAGTTTTAATCCAACTTAAAGTTATTGTCGAGTCCGACCAAAACGTTTTGCTATTAATTTTACAACGAAGAGCTTCACTAACTTTGACTGCAAGTCGAGCTCCCAGTACGGCAGCACAAAGCTCGAGCCTTGGGATAGTGATTGGTTTTAAAGGCGCTACGCGAGTTTTGACACATAGCAGTTTAGTGAAGACCTTTCCATTATTGTTTATTGATCGTAAGTAAATATTGGCCGCGTAAGCTTCCTGTGAAGCATCGACGAAACAGTGGAGATCTATAACGACTGGGGATGGACATAGCACAAACCTTGGTATGTTGAGGGTAAGTAAATTTTTTAAGTTTGTAACAACCTTTTTCCAAATTTTATGTATTTTTACTGGCACTAAATCATCCCAATCTAATTTTATTTGCCACAATCGTTGTAAAATAATTTTAAGTGTAATAGTAGCATGTACCTAAGAAACCCAATGGATCAAATATTTTGCATGTATTTGATAAAATGATCCTCTTGGTAATATTTTCTTCGTGTTAGTCTATGTTTATTTGAAATATTAATGTGTCAGCGCTAGGTGTCCATAAAACACCCAGGACACTTGATTCTTTTAAAAAATCTGGGGGTTTCTTGAAAGATTCTTGGACAATTTGTTCGAAATTTATGTATAAGAAAGCAAGCAGCTTCAAGAACCTCGACCACGTTTTTACAAATGTGTGATAATTCATTCTCATCTGAAGCACCTATTAAGAGGTCGTCGACGTAGAAGTCACTTTTAATGATTTCTGATATTAAGGGATCTGGACATTCTACGGCAAGTTTAAGTAGACATCTCGTGCTCAGATATGGTGCGGATGCGGTCCCGTAAGTGACCGTATTCAAACGTAAAGTTTTAAGGGGCATAGTTTCACTATTTCTCCAAAAAATAAGTGGAAGATGCCTTTGGGATTCGTCTATCATGACCTGTCTGCACATTTTTTGTGTCACCAGACACTACGTATTTATGCTGACAAAAAGGTACTAAGATGTCGATCAAATCATGTTGCACAACGGGGCCGATGTACTGGATATCATTTAAGGATTTATGTGATGTCGTCTTCGCGGAAGCGTCAAATACTACACGAAGTTTTGTAGTTTCGCTATTTTGTCGAGTGACGCCATGATGTGGCATAAAGTACCCGAATTGAGGTTTGTCGATTTCAGTCAAGTGACCGAGTTTCTCATATTCATTAATGAAGTTGGTATATTCTTTTTTGTATTCAGGATTTTTATGAAATTTTTTCTCAAGGCTCAAGAAACGTTTTTTTGCAATTGAATAGGAATCGCCAAGTACCTTTTCGGGAGATTCATTAAGAGGCATCATTACCGAGAATCTACCATCTTTCAAACGTTTTGTTGTAGTAATGAAGTGGCGTTCACAAACTTCGTCATCAGGTGACATCACTGTTTTTATGGATGGAACTTCTTCAAGATTCCAAAATTTTGACAATTGATCACTAATTTCTCTAGTAAAATTGCAATGAGTTTTTTTATATTTTTGCAGATTGTTTGTATAAAGAGGCCCTGCTACTACCCAACCCAATTGTGTATCCTGAAGTATGGGCATATTAGGCCCAAGTTTTATTTGATTGGATGACATAATTTCAAAAAATATTTCAGCACCCAGCAACAAATCAATATCTGAAGGGAGGAAGAAGTTAGGATCTGCTAATTGAATGTTTTGAGGTAAGTTAAGCTTTGAGGTATTTATTAAAGCATTAGGTAGTACGCCCGTTATTTTAGGAACCACCAAACACTTAAGATGTGCTTTAAATGGATTGAAACATGACTGTACAGTAATTTCACAACTGTCGGTAATGGGCATTCGAGAATTATTAATACCCGATATGCATAAAGTATCGGAACCCTTACTAATTAATCCTATTTTTTCTTTCAGGTGTGCTGTAATGAAGGAGGACTGGCTGCCAGCGTCAAGTAATCCACGAGCGAGGTAAGTACCTTTATTTTCAGGATTAATTATTTTAACTAAGACGGTGCCAAGAAGAACCTGACCAGGACATCGAGTCGACAAGGATACCGGCACGTTTATTGAAGAAACCTCGGAAATAGGGACGTCTATTTCTGCGGGGAACAACGGTATAACCGACGCGGATGCAGGTACGTAGCTACAATGATTCAAAGTTGTGCTTGTTTCAAGTACACTGTTATTATCTAGATGCAATAATGTGTTATGTTTTCTTCTACATGTTTTGCAGGTGCCTAACAAACGACAATCGGCTACAGAATGACCTCTTCGTAAACAGTTGGAGCAGAGTCCTAATTTATTAACTTCACCACATCTATTTTGTGGTGATAATTGTTTGAATGACGAGCAATCGATAATGCGATGGTGCTGGTTACAGAAGGGACATGATAAATTATGTTTAGCGGTAGCGGAAGTTACAAAGCTTTTTGATGTTTTGTAATGATCTCTAAATTTTATTTCAGGTTTTTTGTGATAATCTTTATGAAATGTAGATTTATGTTCGCGCTTCGCGTCACCTCTACTAATAGCCAAAGTTTCGAGAATGTCCGCACGATTACGTAAAAATTGCATGAAATCGCTCAGTACAGGTAAGTCCTTAAAATTATTCTTATGTTCTTCCCATTTACTAAATGTTATAGAATCTAATTTTGTTGAAATCAAGTATATTATAAGAAGATCTCATTTATCAGTAGGCTGTTCTAATGTATTAAGAGCCCTTAAGTTTTTTAAAACATGATCAACAAGAAACCGTATTGCCTTATGAGATTCGTTTGTTATGGATTCTATTTCAAATAATGCCTTTAAGTGATTATTGATGAGTACTTTTTTATTATCATAACGTTCGCATATTAATCCCCAAGCAATACTGTAATTCTTTGATGTAAATTCAAGCGATTTTATAATTACAGTTGCACTACCTTCCAATGATGACCGCAAGTAATGAAATTTATTTATGTTTGAAATGGAATCATTTGAATTAATTAATGAGTCAAATGTGTCCCTATATTCTAACCATTTTAAATAATTCCCGTCAAAGGTAGGTAATTTTATTGTCGGGAGCTTTATATTACCTAGGCTGTGACGGCTGCAATCGTCTGAACATGATGATCTAGCCGAGTGAAGACTGGCGTCCTTCTCTTGTATAGTGACGTGAGAGTCAATTATGTGTTGGGCCAAAGACAATGTACTGTAGTATAAATTTTCAAAAACATCCACCTCATTCTCATCATCAACAGACGACAACGTTTCAATTTGAGACTGAACTTCATTAAACTCAAAAAGTAAATTTTCTATTTTACTTAAACGAAATTTTAATTCCTTTAATTGAATGTCGGTAACATCTTCTAGTTTTAGTAGATTTAATACAGAAACATGATCTTTAAATCGAGTTAAGCGACCCTTAATTGCTCCGCGTAATTTAATTAACTCCTTCATTTTTTTCCTTTCAAAATCGGAGTTACTGCTAGAAGATCCACCTTTATTTAAGTCGGTATCCGTAGGCATTTTGAAATATATAAATCAACATTGAACAACAAATTAAGTAAAGTAAATGCGCACCAATCCAAATCGCAATCGAAAACGGTGTCGTACAATGCGTAGACACGGTGAGACACAGAGCGACACAGTGCCACACAGTGTTCTGGCGACACGGTGAAGCACAGTGCAACTTATTATTATTGGGTCGTCCGCTGGTCCTAACTGGACCGCTGGGTACGGGCCCCGAGCTTGCGCTCCTTGCCCGGGCATTCTGCTGGGGTGAACCACCCCAGCGTCGTTCTTTTACCGGCCGACCTGCCGGCCGGCCGGAGGGCGGCTGCTTCTAAGCAGCCGCCTGTGGGCGTTGTGTGGCAGGAATCATTATGTCGCTCGCCGAGCCGGCTTAACGCCGCCACGTCACGTAAATGACGTGATCACTCGGTGGAGAGTAGGTCGCGCGGGAGCGCGCGAGTGGCGTCCGGTGGGCGCGCGTGGAGAGGGGCGAGGTCGCGCAGGTGCGCTTCGCGCCCGCTGTCCGCGCGCGAGAACATCGCGCGCGTCAACCGGACGACGAACTGCTCCACCGATGGGACCTTGAGGTCGCGGGCGATCACGTCATTACGGACGTACCGTCCGGCATTTATGCATAGAGGGAGGGCGGCGTTTTGTTGTACCTGCAGTCTCCGCCGCTGTGACGCCGAGCACAGTGCGTACCATGCGGGGGCGGCATATGTGAGCCGCGAACGAATATAGGTCTTATAGATGCCTACCTTCGTCCGCAGCTGCAGTCTGGATTGTAAGACCGGTCGCAGCATAGCACGGGCTGCCTTGGCTTGGGTAACAGCCCGGTCCACCTGCGGCGTCATACGCAGCGACCGGTCGATTTCCACCCCTAGGTAACGTACTGTGCGTTCCCACTGGATGGGCTGGCCTCTCAATAGGAGGGGCGGCGGATATTTGCACCCGGGGCGGGTAAGCAGCGCCACCGTTTTACCCACGTTAACGGTGGTACGCCACTTATCCAGCCACTCGGGGAGCAGGTCCAACAGCCGCTGCATTTTGCGAGCGGCTGCGTAGGCTCGGCGAGACGACGTGAGGAAGGCACTGTCGTCGGCAAATAGAGCGAGGACGACATCCCTCTCTCCCTCTCGGAGCTCATCCCTCAAGGTGGGGATGTCGTCTGTGTACGTCGAGTAGAGCGCTGGCGAGATGCAGCTGCCCTGCGGGACTCCGGCGGCGATTGGGCGTGTGGTAGAGTCACAGTTCTCGACCGAAACGTAAAAGCTCCGGCCCGAGAGGAAAGTGTCCACTACTCGCACGTATGCTGACGGCGTGTTGGTGTCGAGCAATTTCGACACCAAACCGTCGTGCCACACACGGTCGAACGCCTTCTCTATATCGAGAAATACGCCGACCGTGTAGTGGCCGCGGTTGTGCTCGACAGCCATGTGGTGGAGCACGCGCGTCAGCTGCAAAGTCGTCGAGTGTCCGCCTCTGAAACCGAACTGTTCGTCGCGAGGCGACAGGGTCGGTTTCAAGCGGCGGAGCAGAAGGCGCTCGAACGACTTTGCTACGTGCGAGAGCAGAGTGATGGGCCGGTAGCTTGCCGGCAGACGTTTGTCCTTGCCGGCTTTCGGGAGGACTATGACTCTACCCAACTTCCAGCTGTTGGGGAAGTGGCCGGTCCGGAGTATGCCGTTGTAGAGCCTCACTAGACATACTAGGGCTCTACGGGGCAGCTGTGCGAGCGCTGCGGTGCTGATCCCGTCCGCTCCGGGCGCTTTGCGCTTCGGCAGGCGGCTGACGAGCCGCGTTACCTCGCCGGGCGAAACGAAGCTCACCTCGTTTACGTCCGGCGACGGAGCGGTACGGAACTCGCATACGCGACGTACGACTCGCTCGTGGTGCTCGACGACAGTGCGTGGTGCGTCGGCGGCGACGGGATTGGCCGTAAATTGCCCCTCCAGGTGCTGTGCCAGGATTTCTGCCCGGTCCTGAGCTGCGTAACAACGTCTGCCCGTCTCGTCTAGCAACGGGCAGACGGGGGGTCGTGCGTTGGTGAGCTGTCGGTTGAGTGCGTGCAGGGTGGTGGCGTGTTCGTCCGCCCGGGAGATGACGGCCTCCCAGGAGGAGCCACGCCAGTCCCGCATCCCTTCCGACAGCTCCGCAGCCAGGCAGTTGAGCTCACGCTTGACCCGCGGGCAGCGGGTGCGAGCCCATAGGCGGCGGAGATCTCTCTTTCGCGCCAGTTTTTCGCGCAGATGGTATGGCAGCTCCTCTCGACGGCGAGAAGCCACGTTTACGGTGGTAGTGGCCGCCTCAGTGGCGGAGCGAATTCGCTCCGTCATGAAGACGGAGGCACAGTGCAACGCAGAACCGCGGCACAGTGTCACTGAACGCGTTACCGGCACGGTGAAGCGGCGGCCGGTTGATGTTTATTCATTTGAAGTGGGTAATCTGGAATGTTAGCGATTAATAATGAGCAAAACGATATCAATTTGATATAATTGTTATAAACTTTGAGATTGTTTAAGATATTTGACTAATGTTACAGTTTATGTTTAGTTTAATATAACACTTACGTAAATAAATGAGTAACTTATGAACTATGAAGGCATAAAGTGTAGTTTAATTATGGTACAAAATAATGATTAATATTACGAGACGCTGAGCATTAAGGATATATTTTGTTTTTATTTATTTTATATGTATACTCTGATAATATTAAGGTTTAATTATATTAAGAATAAGTTGCAAATAAATAATGTTTACACTCGTATTAAGAAGTGTTTGAAGTAAAGAAAACACTTGATTGCTATTTTAGACGAATGTAAACGGCAAAAGTAATTATTTAAGATGATTAAGTACCTTAAATATACATGCACTATGGTGTACACATATAATCAAACTATTGATATACTTAAAATGACACCAAAATGAACCAGAAACACTAGAATTACCTACTCAAAGTACAACTCACTTAAGCACAAATTGAAGGGGAATTTATGAACAAAATGGATGGTTAAGGACAGAGCTACTTCTCTTGATGATGCACTCTCGTGATGATGCAGTCACTGACACTTCACATGTAGGTAACACAATGCGGTCCAGTTTTGATATTGTGTGGAATTTTGAAATCCAGCCGTGTTGCAACTGCTGATCAAAGTCCTGTCACGGTCGCCAATTTTGTACGGGGTTGTACAAAGAATATTAAGATGAGTTTACGTACTTATTTATTTTCTAAAGATTTAAGACAATTACAATTTTATTAAGTTGCGCTCGCGCGTCTGTAGGTTTACTGCCGGTGTCGCCGGTCGATCGCGTCTTCTCGCTTCCCCCGCACCCTCGTCCCCGTAGCTACCGCGTCAACATATAGTAATATTGTTTTTTATATATTTCTACTGTTACTATTTATACATTTGTTATTTTATTATTATTATTTTATATATATGTAGGTATACGTATTTATATATTATACTTAAATATTTATTTAATATTCTAGATGTTATATATAATAGTTATATATAATGCGTTTGCTTCTTTTTCCTTTGTTGTTATTGTCATGTATATGTATATATACATATATTTTTCCACCACTCCACAATTTTTCAGTCATTCAAAGGTTGACTGGAAGAAATCCCTCATTTGGGATAAGTCCGCCATTGTACATCTTATATATTATTTTTTTTAAGATCGTTGTATCTTTAGTTAATTTAAATGTATTTATTGTGCAATAAAGTGTTACAAACAAACAAACAAACTTATTTAATCTTATTGTATATTTATATTTGACCCAAAAAAAATTGTGCTAGTTGGTAGTTTGTATTCACACGTTTCGACTTGTAAATGTAAACTTAAAATGATTATTTAAAGAATAACACACAAATGTGTTGCTCGTTCTTCTTGTGATGAGACAGCTTTCCGAACGAGTGGTAGATAAAAAACAAATTGTTATGACTATTCAAAAGTGCTTAAATTAAGTTTATTTGAATAAATGATTTTCTATTCTATTCTATCTTTCCACACTTCCGACTCCAAACTATTCTCCTTTCGTTTTTAATCAATTCACAGTGTCATGTTAAGAAAAGGATTATAGCAATTTCCTCTAGTGCTGTTGGTGTTGATCGTATCAGTCACAATATGATTCTTCCTATCCTCGATCAGATCCTACCAATTATTTTCCATATCCTTAATCACTCCATAATAACTAGTGTTTATCCTAAAATCTGGAAAGAAGCGCAAATAATCCCTCTTCCAAAAAAGGCCAATCCCGCATCTCATTCTGATTTCCGTCCCATCTGTATTCTACCTATCCTTTCCAAAGTCCTTGAACGTTTGATTCACAACCAATTCACCTCGTTCCTTAACAAAAACAACCTAATAAATCCTCTTCAGTCTGGTTTCCGACCTGGTCACAGTACAACAACTGCTCTCGTCAAAATCGCTAACTGACTAGGTATGGAAAAATGTCAGTTAACTATCCTTACACTCCTTGACTTTAGTAACGCCTTTAATACCGTAGATTTTGATATCCTCGTGGAATTGCCACTGTAGATGTTGAGTCAAATGAGTGGAATATGGCACAACGGCGACAAAGCCGAAGGCCACCGGTGATCAGGGGCACTGGAGATGTTGATATGTAAGTATCTGCCGTAGAGAGATCGAGGCAAATTCATTTATGGTCAATACGATGTAGCATAACGGTTGAGCAGGTCAAAAACTATTTATTTATTTATATACTCTTTATTGCACCAGGAAAATTACATTAATAGAGTAATTAAAATTAAGAGGGTACAACAGTCGGTCTTATCACTTATGCAATCTCTTCCAGGCAACCTTTGGGTAGAGGAGAAAAGACAAAAGGTGGGAGGTGGCACTAGAATAGAAGAGAAAAAAAATAATAATAATATACACCAATATAAATATTATATATATATATATACATACATACATAACAACATGCAACAAATAGATACAACACAATTCAAAATAATGCAAGCAGCAAGTAACTATGATGCAGGCATAGGAATAATACCTACTAGTAATATAACAATGGTGACGACAGAAAAGAAACATTATAAGGAAAGATAATGTGATTTGACTGAGTTCTTAAAGCTGGGTAGTGATCGTGAGCTACGTATGGAGG